TCCCATCTAGAGCAGTCCCTCTAAAATACCCTGTGGAGGTGGTTTGTGTGAGGCAAATTCCCTGAACTTTTGCTTGTCTGGGAATTGTTTAATCCCTCCTTCATATTTAAATGATAATCGTGCTGGATACAGTATTCTTGGTTCAAGGCCTTCTGTTTCTCTTTAATAAATATATCATGCCATTCTCTTCTGGCCTGTAAGGTTTCTGTTGAGAAGTCTGATGATAGCCTGATGGGTTTTCCTTTATAGGTGACCTTTTTTCTCTCTCTGGATGCCTTTCATACTCTACTTGTCTTTGATCTTTGCCATTTTAATTATTATGTGTCTTGGTGTTGTCCTCCTTGGTTCCCTCTATTGGGAGTTCTGTGTGCTTCTGTGGTCTGAGCGACTCCTCACCCAGTTTGGGGAAGTTTTCAGCAATTACTTCTTCAAATACACTTTCTATCCCTTTTTCTCTCTTGTCTTCTTCTGGTACCCCTATAATGTGGATATTGTTCTGTTTTGATTGGTCACACAGTTCTCTTAATATTGTTTCATTCCTGGAGATCCTTTTATCTATCTCTGTGTCAACTTCTCTGCATTCCTGTTCTCTGATTTCTTTTCCTTTAATGGCCTCTTGCACCTCGTCCATTCTGCTTTTAAGTCCTTCCAGAGATTGTTTTATTTCTGTATTCTCTCTCCCAGCTTTATCTGTTAGGTCTTGCATTTTTCTCTACAGTTCCATCAGCATGGTTATGACCGTTATTTTGAATTCTTTTTCAGGAAAATTGGTTAAATCTATCTCCCCACGTTCCTCTCGGGATGTCTGTGTGATTCTGGTCTGGATCAAATTCTTATGCCTTTTCATGGCTATAGAGGTAGTCATGGGCAGTTGGTGCATGTGTTAACTGGGAGAAAAACGTCCCTTCCTCCTTGCTTGTCACCTTCCTCTCCTGCAAGAACGGCGACCCCTAGCGGCTTGTGCTGGACAGCTGCGTGCCATCGCGGTCTCTGAATCTGGCCCAGGCATCCCTGGGGGATGCTCTGTGTGGCTGCTGTGGGCGTGGCTGGTCTCTAGCAGCTGCTTCGCTGTGGCGGAGCCGCACCAGAGTGCAAACGGATGGGAGGCTGTTTATTGCCGTGAGTGGCCTTAGAGCTGTGCTGCCACCCAGGGGATTAGGGTGCCCGGAGTTCCCAGCTTCTGGGCTGAGTGTGTCGGGATGCTTCCATCCAGCTGTGAGGCTCCTGTCCCTTTAATACTTTCAAAAAGCACTCGCTTTTCTTTTGTCACTGGGGCGCCAGCTGTGGGTACCTGCTCACAGGTTTTACTCTTCCGTTTCTCTGGTATCCGGCACACCACACACTGTGTGTCTGTGCTCCCAGTGTGGATGACCTGGGCTGGGTATTTAGCAGTCCTGGGCTCCCTCTCCCTCCCCGCTCTGACTCCTCTGCTCCCACCAGGGAGCTGGGGTGAGGGGCCTCGGGTCCCTCCAGGCTGTGGCTTGTATCTTACTGCCTTTGTGAGGCCCTGGGTTCTCGCAGGTGTAGATGTAGCCTGGCTGTTGTACTGTATCTTCTCGTCTCTCTTTTAGAAATAGTTGTATGTGTTGTATTTTCAAAAATATATATAGTTTTGAGAGGAGATTTCCACTGCTCTACTCATGCTGCCATCTTGGCTCCTCCCCCCCAGGATCCTGTTTTTTAATCCATTGAAGCAATCTGTGTCTTCCTATGGGAAATTTAATCAATTTTTTATTAAAAGTAATTGCCATAGGGTGGGAATTATTGCCATTTCATTATTTTCTATTTGTATTGGAGCTGTTTTGTTTCTCCTTTCTTACTTCCTATGTGTATAGTTGAGTTTTTTTGGTAGTTACTATCTTTTATTCCTTTCTCATTTCCTTTTGTATATCTTCCATAGGTATTTCTTTGCGGTTGCCATGGGGATTGTATAAACTATCTTAAAGTTACTATTTTAAACTGGTAACACTTTAACTTAAATCACAGAAGATCTCTACTCTTTACACCTCTCCCCATGTTATGTTTTGCTATTGTACCTTATATCTTTTTATATTTATCTTTTCACATAGATTTAGTTACTTTTTATGCTTAAATTGTATAAGAATTAATATGATTTATGCCACAACTTTACAGTAATACAGGATTGTGTATTTACCTTTACCAGACAATTTCATATTTTCATATGTGTTCAGGTTGCTGTCTGGTGTCCTTTCATTTCAACTTGAAGGACTCCTTTTAGAATTTCTTATGTGGTAGATCTAATGGTGATGAACTCCCTCAGGTTTTTATCTGACCAAGTCTTAACTTCACCTTCATTTGTGAAAGTTTTGCTGGCAGTTATTTTCTCTCAGCACTCGAATATATCTTCCCACTCCCTTGTGGCCTCCCTAGTTCTTCTGAGACAACCACTGATAATCTTAAGGAAGCTACGTTGAATTTGATGGGTCACTTTTCTCTTGCTACTTTCAAAATTGTTTATCTGTGCCTTTTACAGCTTGATCATAGTGTTTCTCAGTGTAGGTCTCTCAGTTTTCCTTGTTGAAGTTTTTTGAGTTCCTTGAAAGTTCAAGAATTTTCAGTATGTTAGCATTCTTCCTCAAATGGGAGAAATTTTTGGCTGTTACTCGAGTAGACTTTCTGCCCATTTTCTCTCCCTTCTCATTCTGTAACTCCCTCATTCATTTATTGGTACACTCAGTGTGTCTCATAAATCCCTTGGGCTCTCTTCACTTGTTTTCTTTCTTTTTGCTCCATGTAACTCAACAGTTTCAAATGACTTGTCTTTAAGTTTGCTGATTCTTTATTCTGCTTGATATAGTCTGGTACTGATCCCTTCTGGTAAATTTTTCAATTCAGTTAATTGTATTATTCAACTCCATAATTTCTGTTGATTCTATTTTAAAGTTTTTGTCTGTGTAACATTTTCATTTTCTTCATACATCATTTTTCTAATTTAATTCAGTTTTCTTTCTGTGTTCTCTTATCTCATTGAGTATCTTAATGTCCGTTACTTAGAATTCTTTGTTGAGTAATTCGTAGATCTCCGTTTCTTTAAGATCAGTTTCCAGAGATTAATTTCTTTGATTGAGCCATATTTACCTGTTTCTTTGTATGTCTAATTTTCTTTTGCTGAAATTTGGGCATTTGAATGAATAGCCTCCTCTCCCTGTCTTTTTGGAATATCTTCGTACAGAGGAGTCCTTCAGTAGTCAGCCCAGGTAGATGCCCTGGGGCTTCTCAAACCTTTTCTAGAGATGTGTATTCTCTGAGCCTGTTTATGTACTCTGACATTTGAAGAGGTTTGTCTGTCTACTTGGGAGCTACCACCTGGTATCTGTCTGTCTGTGTTATTCTAATTTTTCTGGTGCTGTACTGTGCTGACAGGCTCACCTTTGTTCTCATCTGGCCCCCAGACACTTAATGTGTGCTGTGTCCTCCAAGTCAGGTGAGACAGAAGCCAGTTAGTTCCTTGGGCAGTTCCCTGAAAAGCCAGAGAGTTGCATGCAAGTTCTACTTTTCTCTTTCCTCCTGAAGGAGAAACCACTATTGGGGAGTTTTCTTAATTGTGCTTCATTGTGTTGGGAGGAGAATGAGGTATTGTGGGTAAGTGCAACCGACTTTTCTACCTATACAGTATATGTTTTATTGGTCTTATTCTTGGCTTGCGGTCTTAACTGGCTTCTGGAATTCTCAGAAAGGAAATTTGGTCCATATAGTGTTAAGTCATTATCTCTGTGAAGACAGGAGTGTGTGGGGCTTCCTACTCTGCCATCTTGCTGATGTCACCACACTGTAGTGTTTAAGATTCTTCATCTAATGACTAATACCATGTTCTAAGCCAGTGATATTTATTGATTATTATGTGTTTACTCCTTTTTCTGTTTTTCTCCCTGAAACGTTACTTGCCTTCATCTTAACTGTTTTGAGTGTACTAATTATGCATTGATCTATTTAAATATGCATGTGTTTTCCCAAAAACTCTTCTTTTAACTTTTTCCATTGACACTACACTGTTACTTTAATTTGCTTTATCATTTGTTTCAAATGTCTTTGCGTCTAGTCAGATTTTGATCACCTTTAGAGCACGTGATTCTAAGTCTCTTTTGTCTCCGTAACATATGTAACCTAGTACAAAGCTATACTGGTTAGTTAACATATCCTTTTTTTGTATAAAAAAACAACAGAATCTGTTGTTGAGAGAAGAAGAGTGATTAGTGGCACCTGCATGATATGGTGACCCTAAGCACTCACAACCTTTGGTTTAACATGTATTATTGTTATACTTAATTAAATCTTGACAAGTTATTTTTTTCAATTTAAGAAATAAATGATAATAGTATCACTAATGATAAAAGGAACAAATAATGGTAATTAACATTGTAGATACTAGAATTCTATTTTTTTTTGGGAAAAGGGCTCAAATTAGTTGATACTTAAGTTTAGAATTGAGACATCTATTTATGAAGTTATAAGTCACATGTGGTAAGTAGTTACTTTTTGAACAAAAATCATAAAAATAATTTTGGTTTGAGAATTTTTATTTGTGACCTAAGATATTTAATTGGTAGCTAACTACTTCTGAAGAAGAATAAATATGTACCTTCTTTAATTGAGTTTCTGATGGTAATCCAGTGCCTGCTATGCCTGGTAAATAGTTGGCATTCACTAGATATTTATTGAATGAGTGTGTCCAGTTATTCTTTATATTTGTATTCTTAATGTTTATTAAATGCTTACAGCATTGATACCATTTTCATATTCTTTTATTTATTCATCTTAAAATACCAGTATAGGAATTATTGTATTCATCTTTCTTAATGGTAAGCAGTTATTTCAATAGACTAAGTACTTTGCTTAAGGCACAACTAACAAGTAGCAATGCCAAGATTCAAATTCTTGTCTCAACTTGTAGTATTATCCACTGTTGTAGAAGGAACAGATAATTTGTTGACAAAGCTTAAAAATTCCTTTTGCATTGGATTTTACCTTTTCTTCCTCAGAATCCACCAAATCCGCCTATGTCACCAGGGAAGTCTGCAGTTGATGTCAACAGCAATAACAACGTGCCCTACAGGTGAGAATCATGGGCAGTCTATTTGCCATGTTTTTAAATGACAGAACAAGGTTCTGGTTTTCTTTATTTTGCGAAAAAAACCTTGTAAAGTATTCCTGTGTATGTATTTGTGTAGAGATAAATTTTTGGTATACTGGATTAAGTACATTTCCTTCTTTTTTACTTTGCTGTAATTGTTCATCTGTCGTTTTTGCTGATTATAAGGCTTTTTTTGGTCATTGCAGATTTCTTTTAGCACTTACAGGAAATAGCATTTAGGCAAGCAATGGAGTAATGCATTGGTCTGCAGATATTAGGAGTTGCATTTAGTTTTCAGGGAAAAGTATTAAGAACATTAGAATAGAACAAGAAGACTCTTCCATAATGCCATGGACCCCAGCATCCAAAGTCTGTGTGCCAGCTTTTCCTTAGTGCATTCACTGCAGTGTAGTGCTACAATACCTGTGCCTACCCATCCTTTCTTTCTTATGGACTACTGCTTTCTCTATACATAAATTGACATTCCCCAGCATGACATATCCATTGACTATTGTGTGTATGTATATTTCATAGAAATGCAAGCACAGTGAGACAGATGCTGGAGTCCAAAAGGAATGTAAGTGAGAGTGCACCGCCATCCTTTCAAACCCCTGTGAATACAGGTAATATTCTTAAACACCAAAATATATTTTCTTAGGATTTGAAGGCTTTGGTTCTCTTTTCTTACATTCTTTTGAGGTTGAAACATCCTAAGAAACAGTATATTGATCTAAAATTGAGTTCTAAGTACAGAATTTTATTTAAAAATCAGGGTTACAAATATGCATGAAAATATAAATTCAAATCTGAACTGTAGTGGTTGTCAAACTTTCTGGTCCCCGTAATCTTAAGAAAGTATTAAGAACCCCAAAGAGCTTTTGTATATGTGGATTATATTGATATTTACTACAGTAAAAATTAAAGCATAAAATGTTTAAATGTTCATTAATTCACTGAAAAATAAACCCATATTATGTAATGCAAATAACGTATGTTAATGAAAATAACTTTTTTACAAGCTTGAAAATATTAGTGAAAAGTGTGTTATTGCCTTAAGTTTTTAAAAGTCTCTTTATACCTCACTTAAAACATTAAAATGGATAAAGATAGCTAGACTCTCCTGTCTGTTTCTACATTGTCTGTTGCAATTTTTTTGGTTGGAATGTTTGAAGAAACTTCAGTCTTATACAAATACATAGTTGGAAAAGAGCTAACCCTTTTCAAGAATTTTGTATATTCTTCTTTGACACATTCAACTGGCAGTTTATTAAAGGTTAGTTGCAAAGTGGAATATGAAACCCTACTAATGAACTTTTTCACATTTTTGTTAAAATTCACTCACCTATCTTGTACTTGGTTGGATCTTTTACTGGTATCATTCATTGACATTTGGAAAATACTGAATTATGTAGGTCTTCCGAATGTTAATACATCTCATTAATCAATTGTTTTAAGAAAATTGCATTAATTTATTTCACTACTGAGTCTTCTCAGAAATGTCTTTAAAGATTTGGGAAGCTGTCATGTTCTCAGTGGCAAATACAAGTTTTTCCAAAGTGCTAATTATTGTTTTTAAAACTTGAATTTTCTTACTGTCAATATAGACTGCTGGTTATTTCCTTTGAAGTGAATAACTTACTTGGCTTATTTTCAAGAAAAGATTTTCCAAATACCCAAGTATGAAATACCATAGTAAGTCAGTTTTTAAGTCAGAACAGTCTTCCATGAAAACGGATGATGCTCAGCATATAATGTAGCTCAAATGACCATGCAAGCACTTTTCCTTGCATCACCCATCCTGCTTTGACATGCGGCAGAAATGCTGTACATGTGCGTCCTCTCCACACACAATGTTGAGAAGACTTGCACTCAGGTTGAAATTAATCAAAGAGATTTTGCTGCTTCATCATGGATATTCATAAGTAAAATTGATTCTGTTCGTTGTTTACTGTGCACATGTGGTGGTAAAGAATGCAGTGATAGTTTGGTACCACTCCCTTGATTTTTGTACTGAGGCACCAGAAGTTTTCCTGACCTTGCTTTTGCTCCATTAGTACAAGTATCTACTGGTAAAAAAAGTCAAATAATGTCATTACTGTTATTAAAATAGTTTTGGCATTGCAAACGTCCCAAGCTGAGACGGTCTCAGTAACCCCCAGGTGTCTCCCAGATGACACTTTGAGAATTGATCCTCTACTGTGCCTATGATTTTGAAAAGACTACAAATCATTGAGAAATAATCTTGGTCATCAATATCAAACCAGTTCAAATGAGAATAAATACAAATAATTAAATCAAACTTATAAAAGTCCAGTGATCAGCATTCTGATTTTCTCTGGTTTTTGATATCAGCTGTCTTATTTCTTAATTCATCCCTCATCTTCACTCTGCTCCTTTCCCCATCATGTAATGCCAATAGAGAATCAGTAGAGGCAGCCTACCTTCACTAGTTCTCTCCCAGGCATTTAAATAAAACTTGATCCACAGATGGTGGTTTTACGTCATCCAAATAACAAAACACCATGACCAAGTTCACCTGTTACTCGCTAATAGATAGAGCTGTAACTAGATTTTTAATTTCTTGAGTTTATATATTGCCAGTGTCCTTAGGCATTTACAATGTTTTAGTGGTTTCAGAAATATCTACACCATTTTACCAAGTTTTCTGTAAATACTGAATTATGTAGGTCTTCCGAATGTTAATACATCTCATTAATCAATTGTTTTAAGAAAATTGCATTAATTTATTTCACTACTGAGTCTTCTCAGAAATGTCTTTAAAGATTTGGGAAGCTGTCATGCTCTCAGTGGCAAATACAAGTTTTTCCAAAGTGCTAATTATTGTTTTTAAAACTTGAATTTTCTTACTGTCAATATAGACTGCTGGTTATTTCCTTTGAAGTGAATAACTTACTTGGCTTATTTTCAAGAAAAGATTTTCCAAATACCCAAGTATGAAATACCATAGTAAGTCAGTTTTTAAGTCAGAACAGTCTTCCATGAAAACGGATGATGCTCAGCATATAATGTAGCTCAAATGACCATGCAAGCACTTTTCCTTGCATCACCCATCCTGCTTTGACATGCGGCAGAAATGCTGTACATGTGCGTCCTCTCCACACACAATGTTGAGAAGACCTGCACTCAGGTTGAAATTAATCAAAGAGAGTTTGCTGCTTCATCATGGATATTCATAAGTAAAATTGATTCTGTTCGTTGTTTACTGTGCACATGTGGTGGTAAAGAATGCAGTGATAGTTTGGTACCACTCCCTTGATTTTTGTACTGAGGCACCAGAAGTTTTCCTGACCTTGCTTTTGCTCCATTAGTACAAGTATCTACTGGTAAAAAAAGTCAAATAATGTCATTACTGTTATTAAAATAGTTTTGGCATTGCAAACGTCCCAAGCTGAGACGGTCTCAGTAACCCCCAGGTGTCTCCCAGATGACACTTTGAGAATTGATCCTCTACTGTGCCTATGATTTTGAAAAGACTACAAATCATTGAGAAATAATCTTGGTCATCAATATCAAACCAGTTCAAATGAGAATAAATACAAATAATTAAATCAAACTTATAAAAGTCCAGTGATCAGCATTCTGATTTTCTCTGGTTTTTGATATCAGCTGTCTTATTTCTTAATTCATCCCTCATCTTCACTCTGCTCCTTTCCCCATCATGTAATGCCAATAGAGAATCAGTAGAGGCAGCCTACCTTCACTAGTTCTCTCCCAGGCATTTAAATAAAACTTGATCCACAGATGGTGGTTTTACGTCATCCAAATAACAAAACACCATGACCAAGTTCACCTGTTACTCGCTAATAGATAGAGCTGTAACTAGATTTTTAATTTCTTGAGTTTATATATTGCCAGTGTCCTTAGGCATTTACAATGTTTTAGTGGTTTCAGAAATATCTACACCATTTTACCAAGTTTTCTGTATTTTTTAGTTGTTTTTCCAGTTACTTATGCTGAAGTAATTACAGTAATTTTCAGAGACTGTTTTGATGCTGAGATAGTAGTCCTCCATAGTAATCATAAATTGTGTTCTGTATTCATTAAGTACTGAACATAAATACAAAAATGCTTCTACAAATTTAATTCTAAAAATTTTCCAATCATTTAAATCTGGAAAAAATTTTCGCTGTGAAAGATTTTACTGTATCTACTACAATTGATTAAATTTGTATTGTGTTATACTATCCCGATGATAAATGAAGATAGCTATTTAAACTGAGACTTCTTTTTTCTTTCTGTAGTATCTTCAACCAGTCTTGTCACTCCTCCAACAGTTGTCAGTAGTCAACCTAAATTGCAGACTCCCGTGACTTCGGGTTCTCTGACAGCAACATCAGTTCTTCCTGCACCCAACACCGCTACGGTAGTTGCTACTACTCAGGTGCCTAGTGGAAATCCCCAACCTACAATCTCTTTACAACCTTTACCAGTGATTTTGCATGTACCTGTTGCGGTATCCTCCCAGCCTCAGCTCCTACAGAGCCATCCAGGGACTTTAGTGACTAATCAACCATCTGGCAACGTTGAATTCATTTCTGTACAGAGCCCACCTACAGTGAGTGGACTTACCAAAAATCCAGTATCCTTGCCTTCCTTGCCAAACCCCACTAAACCAAACAACATTCCTTCTGTACCCAGTCCTAGTATTCAGAGGAACTCTCCTGCCAGTGCTGCACCATTAGGAACGACACTTGCTGTACAGGCTGTTCCAACAGCACACTCTATTGTACAAGCCACAAGGACTTCTTTACCTGCAGTAGGCCCATCAGGACTCTACAGTTCATCAAGTAATCGAGGTCCTATACAGATGAAAATTCCAATTTCTGCATTTAGTACTTCGTCTCCTGCAGAACAGAGTAGCACTACTATCCCAAGAATTGGTAAGTCACTCTGTAGGTTTAATAACAGAAATGCAAGCAGGTTAATGGCCCATAGATAATTGAACTTTTGTGTGTGTTTGTGGAAGTGGCTGTCATTACTGGAAGAGCAGAGTAAATAGAAAATCCTTATTAAAAGTAAGTTTTTAGTTACCTAAAAAATGTTGTAAAAACAGATTTGAGAAATCTCTTTTAGTAATTTTCCTAATCTGAGTGAACTTCTCATTTAAGTTTTGTAGCAAGCATCATGAATTATTTTTATATACAGATCCTAGAAATATCTGAGTAAAACATTTATTTTAAAGTATCTAACTGACATAATAAATGCTTATAAGAGGAATATAAAAACCACATATCTTCCCTACTCATTTGGAAAAATCCTTTGTGCATTCATCACTCACATCTTCCACATTTGAACAGTTTAAAAATAGGTTCTTCCCTAATTTACCTATAAATTGCTTTGTTTTCTCTTATATGTTTTCCCATATGACCTATTATATGATTGTTTGCATGTATCTATTTTCAAAGTATAACAAAATGGAGGACTTGATTGTACTTGTATTTAAAATTAGTAAAACTCTCTTCCTTTTTCTTAGAAAGCATACATTTTGTATGTGTTCTTGAACTTGCTTATTCTTCATTTCTGACTTAAACTTATTCTCCCCACTTTTGGAAAGACAAGCGAGAAGGGGTAAACATCATGGATATAATGAAATTGCTCCTGTATCTGTCTTAATGTTATAGGAAGTGACCATGAAAATAAGTAACAAATTTTAAAGCATAAAATTACTTTGATAAGTGAGATATACAAGCCTTGTTTTCTAAAATCTCTCATGGAGCCATTAGCATATACTTGTCCTCTGAGTGTATTTTCTTGGGAAGAAGAGTGATGGCATTGCACAGAATTGCTAAGAGTAAATGGGTGGTGGATCAAATTAATATTGGACTAAAGCTGAATATCATGCACAATTAAATCTGGGATATGAGTAAATCTGAAGCTTTATATAAAAATGCAATTATTAATATTAGAACTTAAAATTTAAATGTTTGCATAGTACAGTAATAATGTTTCGTAGCATTATCTGTCTTCACATTCCTTAGATACTCTTAATTAATGTTTGAAACACTAAAAGGTACTTTTAACTGAGGTCAGTAAATGAGTTAAGATTTTGGGAGGGGTCACCTTATTTTTCTCTAATTTCTTTTTCTTTTAATTCTTATTTTTTAGTATGTCAGGTGGAAGATGATTTATTATGGACATTGTTTTAAGGGGTTTGGGACTTTTTTCATCTTTATGAAATTTTCCTCTTTATGAAATCTTTGTGAGCTTAAGTTGACATTGTTTTTAATTCATGGTCAGATATATTCTTAAATACAGAATTTTTCCTGAAAACCATGGCCTGAAAAGAAAGAAGTAACTTAAAAGATTTTGTTTAATGTCAGAAATGCTAGTACCCTAAAGACTTCTGCAAATATCACAATTATAATTTTATTATTCTGTTTTCTTAAATGCTTAATGAACATTTATTGACACTAAGGGTACATTTCTCCCAAAGTTACTTGTTGATGCATTCTATTAGTTGCAATAAGTGTCAGTCGGTTTTGTATTAATTTTAAGAACTTGACAGTTCTTAATTATTTTTGTATGTAAAATAGTTTTCATGATCACTATCAATTCGTACATCATTCTACTTCTGTACTAACGTATATTTAAACACTTAAAATTTTATTTTTTAACATTTATTCAACACATTTACATGTACTTTAATATGTAAATATTAAGCTCTTCATTTCAATTCTGTTTAGAATGCTTACCTACACCTGAAAGTAAATTATTAGACATAAACCAAAAATGTGAATGGGAAGCTTTGTTGTACATTGTTCATAATGTTAATTAGAATGAGATCCTGCAATGTTCTTTGATCATGCATAATTTCAGGGGGTGACATTAAAATAGGCATTTACCTATTTTAGGCTTCCCAAAACCTAGCTGAAGCCAAATAGCAAATTTGGGCTGAAGGCAAAGGTTGAAGCCAAACTTAATACATTCCTAATGTGATTAATTAATTATATAGTTAAAAAATTTTTAAGTCCTAAATTTATTTAGGTATTACTGACTTAATGAGAATATACACTAACTGTACTGCATGCATTTATATATATTTTATTATAGTCTGTATGTCTTTATAGAGTAAGTCAATATTTTCTGTTTATAATAAAGTAAAAATTGCCCTAGACACTACAGTTGAGCCTTGAATAACATGAGGTTGAACTGTATGGGTCCACTTAATCTGTGGATTTTTTTCAATAAACATTCCAGAAAATTTTTTGGAAATTTGTGATCATTTAACAAAACATTTTCTTTCATCTAGCTTACTTTATTGTGAGAATACAGTATATAATACATATAACATACAAAATACGTATTAATTGAATATTTATTTTATAAGGTTTCCAATCAACAGTAGCCTAATTAGTAAAGTTTTTGGCAAGTGAAAATTTAATATGCAGTTTTGAACTACATGGGGAGGGTTGGTACCTCTAAGCCCTGTGTTATTGAAGGGTCTTTTAGGGCTTAAGTTATAAATAATTTCATTCATTCATAGAATGCAGGTATTCTAAAATCATTCAGACACACACAGAAATGTACAAAATAGTCCCTGTTCTCACCAAACTCAAAATCAAATAGGGAACTTGGTTTTTGAATAATTAATCATAAATGTGATTAATGAATGGTAAGATATCCAAGTTTTTGTGAGAGGATATGGGAGATCTAGAAAGGTACAAGATCATTATCAATTATCCAAAAGTGGAAAGATGATGGGAAACAGCATTAAAGGAGGTTAGCAGTGAGAAGTGTGACATGAACAGTGAGAGTGGTTTAGATGAGATAAAAATGGAGTTAAGGAAGATCAATTAAATTAGGAGGCTCCTGTCATGATTTAGAGAGGTGGTGTGAAAATGATTTTAAAGGTCTGCATTCCATGATTCATTTTCATTCAATTGCCCAGCCCCTACTAAGGGTCACTACTAATTGGCACCCTTTTATGACTCTGGTAAAAAAAATACAGTGTTGGTTAAAAGTGGTAAGAT